GGAATGCCCCTCCTGGTCTGCATGCTGCTCTTCCTACAGCTAGAGGTAGATAAGATTTTAATTTAGATACTTGAGGTGGTACCTAAACTGCTCCATCTTCTGTAGTTAGTAATTCAGGAAATCCAGGTGCAGTATCCAATGTTATGCCTAAGGATCAGTCTTGTTTCTGTTCTTTTCTTGTAAATACAGGGCGTTTTCTACCTTTTCGCAGCCCAAGCTTAGAAGAAAAGAAATGTAGTTACTCTACTTATTTCTCTTGCCTCATTGTAATTATCAACAATCCATGCCCTCTTTGCAGAAGTATTTCCTCAGGCTGTTCTCTTTGCACCTTGATCCTTTCTAATTGCAAACTTTCTGGAATGTCACTTTTAATTAAAGAAGACTCCCTTCTTGCCAGAGAAGGGGAGCACTTTGTACAGAAACAAGCTGTGTAGGCTCCTCCACTTCAGTAAGGAAAGGAAGAAAAAACAAAAGAAAGATTAAAAAAAAGCAGAACTGAAGTCTGGAAAGTGAGTAAACAGTTTCTCCCTGGATTTTCTAAAGTTTGGTCTTCCACTTGGGAAATCCCAATTGCAGAGTGGAGGGGAAAAAAATCAGAACAACCAAAATGTCCTCATTTAGGAATTTTAAAATCTTTTACAAATTGCCACAAAACGTGTATCAGATTATTACAGGAATCACGATGACCTCATTTCTTGTTTGGAGAGACACGGTGTGAGAGCACTGTCAGCAGGCATTAGTACATTTCCGGAGATTGGCATTAAATAAAGTATGCTGTGTCTAATAAATCCAAGTGAATCTATTGTTATTACTAACCAAAACAATTATCAAATGTGATGGGTATTCTGAGCTGACTGAGTACTGAGTCCTAAAATAAAGGGCAGCAAAGCAAAAGCCAGATATATTGGCTTATGTGTGTACTTTTCTGTATTTTTCCTGTGCTGCTTCTTGCCTTGTTTCAGAATCTCCTCCCGGTCCTTTATTAGTCAGAAACTACCATTAGGGGCTAACAATTAGTGAAATGGGAGTGACTTCAAGGGAGAGTTTCCAAACGTTTAACGGTGATTAACATATAATATTTGTGAATTGTACCCGAAAACTGGGTGACATTGTGTCTACCCAGACTGGCTTCATGCTGTCACAGACAAATGCATCTTCCTCCTCCGCTAGGAAGATGTTTGACCGCAATGGATAAATGAGAGTGGTGCTGCCACTTCTACTTTTTTTCTTCAAGGTTTTAACTGCTTATTAACTGGAGATGAATGAGACTGGGGTAACTGAAGGCACAGTAGTACAAACCCAGGGCTCTGGGCACCAAATGCTGGCTTCCTTTGATTTGACATATGTCGAATATGTCATTACATACATTTTGGGGCCAAGCAGCTATGCCTGAAAGTCTCTCTGTCCTTCCCTGTGTTAGATGGGGAGGGAAAAAACACCACTAAAAATAGAAACAAACCTGCTACTTTCTGAAGATGCCTTTAAAAGAAAGAAGACAGGCTTTTTGTGGGTCAAAGTATGAAAGATTTCAAGCAAACGAGTGACAGGGGCAGGGCCAGGAGAAGTACTGGTGTTTAAACTTGATCAAGAGAACAGTTTGTCAGTGTGGGCAGTAAAGCTGAACTTTAATTTATCTAACCCGAAGCAGTTTCACCCGTGCCTTGGCTGGCCTCAGAAACTGAGAACGTAACATGTAAGCTGCTGAATGGCTTAATGACTTCTGCCTCCCTGTTTATCCTTTCCCTTTTGGCTACAACCATATTACTGAAGCCCTGCTGGATGCTGTTGAGGGTATAAATTTTTTACCTGGATACTTAAATACTTGCATCGGACAAGCCAATTCACAAAGAAGGAAGAATAATTGGGAGTGAGTGTAGCAAACACTTCTGTTTGCCTAGATGGGAGACAGCAGACTTTGTTAATAAGCTGCCGTGCTGATTTTTACCTTCCAGGTTGAAGCTTCTGGTCATTTTCACAGCTGAGAGGAGGGAGAAAAAAGTTAGATGCCTATAGAAGAGGTGTTTCATCGATAATATTAAAATGCTAATAAAGCTGCCACATTAAAAACAATTCCTCTTCATTTCGCTCCTTTGCTGCCCTCAGTCCGGTTTTATCTGGGATATTTGTGATGCCTGACGTACTCATGTGCTCTCACCTTTACTGCGTGATGCCTCATCTGGCTCCTCTCCTCATCTGTTGCCCATCCTCTTGCCCTGGATGCATCACTTGGAGCAGAAGAGGGTCCAGGCCCCCGGGACCCTCATTGCATCACAGGAGGGCTCGGGGCCACGCGTCTCCCTGCAGACCCCTGCCCGTGGGGCTGCTCCTTGCCACCGTGGGAGCGGGTGCCTGGCCACCTTCCTTGGCGAAACCCCAGCGTTTTGCCTTCCAGCAAAAGAAAATGTTTTTTAAAAACTGAATTTGGCTGGTTTGGACAAGACGTCTTCTCAGCCTTGTTGACATAAAGGGCGCTTGTTGTATATGGAAACATACCCTCCTCTGGAACCGGCTGTGGAAACAGTGATCTCTATTGAGCAGCCTTATCGTTAGGCTTGGGCACGCTACAGAGTACTGATTTTTATGAATTTGCAGTTAATACATTTAAATGCCAAAAAGAAGAAAAAAAAGTCCCAACAACATGGTTTAGTCCTAAAAAGTGCTTCCTTGGGGAAAAAAAGGGGAGGGTGCTACAAAATAATTGCTTAAGTAAACATGAAAGCCAAGTACCCCATAATTCCTGTTACATGAGAAAATAAATCAAGACAGTTGTTAGGAAGAAAATAGCTTCTTAAGACTTACAAACAGTCTTTTCTTTGATGCTTCTAGGAGGAGAAAGCTTTCACCCATCCTGTGTAACAGAGGGTTTAATCTCATCCTTCACAAAAAAGCCCTGTAGAAACAGTCCCCAGGTTGCTATGCAAATCTGGTCTTTCCCAACAGCTGCTGGAAGAAGCTTGTTTTTGAATTCCTGGTGAAACAAATAGCTTTTTGGAAAGCCTGTCACTTGCTGTTTTGTGTACAGTGAGGTGTCATGAGGCAACTGAGCTCATTTAACAGCTTGCTTCTGCCAAAAGAGATGGTCCCAGCTGCACGCTGCTGCAGATTGTCTCATGGTAGTTCTTGTGCTCATCTGTTTTCTTAGCAAACTCAAACCAGCAAAAACTGAGTACCAAAAAACCCCCAAACGATGCCAAAAAACAATTTAAAAAAAAAAAAGGTTTACTTTCTCCTGGCAGTGTGTGCTGAATCACCTCTGCAAGGGGCCAAACAGTGCCAGAGCTGACGCATGAAAGAAAACAAAATGCATACTTTAACCCATGCAACATACCCATTCCTGAACCTGAATCATAGAAATGATTGTGTTTGCTGTAGAACTTCTTCAACTTGTTTCAGGAGCAAAGGAAGCACACAGTGGCTGCTTTTTTTGTACAAGCAAAGCCTTTTCATTATCCTATGATGCTGATTTAAATAGCCTTAAGAAAATTACCCCAGTAACTTTCTGTAAAATGAGTATCACTAACTTACTAGGTTGTCCTTTGCTCTTCTGCCTCACTTGCTTTCTCTGTGTCACTTCAAGTCATGTGTGTCCAGCTCTGCTGCATCCTCCTTGCACTGCATGGATGTGGCACTTTCCTGATCCTCACTCTAAAAACGGCCCTTAGACCACAGTCACTCACACGTTGCATCGTTCTCACGCTAGCCCAGATTGCTGACTGTAGTCTTGCCCAGTGCTTCAGCTGCATCGCTTTCCATTTCGATGCACCACCCTTTGTCATGTTTTCATCTCTTGCTCTTTCCACCTCCAGGCAATCCTGAAAGTCTGGGCACCCTGGTCTGGTATCTTCCTCTGCAGCTCTGCTTTCCTGAAAAGGTGCAAAACTGCATTTTCTGAGGGTTGAAGGACTGCCTGATTTTCACATTCATGTTGCTTAATTACGGTGGACAGAACCTGTGAGGATAGGTACGTCAGATGTGCATTTAAGAGTATGTCCTGCGACATTTACCAGGGACACATGCAAGGCTGGAATCCGGGAAGCTCAGACCTGTGGTGGCCCCACACACAATTAAAATTCCATCATCCTGTTGTGTGTACTTGACTCTGTCAGCTTTTTTTTTGTTGTTTCTAGTGTCTTACTGCGTTTTCTGACACACTGAAGACCCGCCGGAGTTTTTAAATAGTAGTGTGTAATCAATACGTTTTCTTGTAGATATCCCTGATGTTTGGTGTAACTGGTTGGCAATGATGCAAAAAGAAGATTAACTTTTTAAATTTAAGTCTCCAGAGGTGCTGTATTAAAAGGTACTTTTCCGGTTGAGTTTGTGCGCTCTGAGAGGTGATTACCTCTCCGGCACCAGCACATTGACCGGCTGTGCTGAGTGCTCCTCTTTCACTCCAACGCAGAGTAAACCAGGTGATTTTGAACTACTGCTTGGATGCTCTGAGGAGCAGCAAGCTCTTACAGTGCTGTCAGAAGAGCACATCTGACTGTGCATATGGAAAAATTAATTCCAGCGAAGGAGGACAGGTCGTGCTGTGCTCTGCATTGGCTGCACGAGGTGGAGCCGTCTTGTTGCCTCTCCCTTTGAATTTCTGAGTCCCGC